GGGGCCACGGTTTTCAGGATCGTGTAGCGAGCGTCAAAGCTCTCAACGGAACGTAAGATCGGCCCCTTCGTCCTCTCCTCGCCTCCTTTTCTGCTGTCTTATATGTCGTCTAACTGTCCTCCCCTCCCTGCAGATGGGTCGCCTACATGTTCCCCGGCTACAGGGGGCGCCAGTTCATCTTCGAGCGGGGAGATTTCAAGCACTGGAACGACTGGGAGGCCCCCGCCCCCCAGGTCCAGTCTGTCCGACGTGTGCGGGACATGCAGTGGCACAAGAGGGGCTGTTTCAACGTTCCCGACCCAGCTCCGGCTCCCGTACCCGGACCCGGACCTGGACCCGAACCCGACCCCGCTCCGGTGCCACCCGCACCGCCTGCATCAGCTGGAGCCAGCTGAGCAGGACCCCCCCCCCAAAACCACCACCACCACCCTGCCTCTATCTAACCACGGCTGCTTGTGCCCAGAGAGGAGGGCCATGTATGTTTCAGTGGCGAATAAAAGCTGTTTTGACCCTGTTTGTTGGTGATGTTTATACTTGTGAGTGGAGCTGCAATCAGACAGCTCATCCAGCCGAACATCTGGATACACATCTGCTCAACAGCAATGGAAGTGATGTCATACTGTGTGTATGCTTGCTATTAAACCAGAGTGCACCGCATTCCCCTCCATAGTCATCATTGTGCATTTAATGACCCTCACGAACAGCAGTGAACATTAGGAACTAATATTAAATATATGAAACTCTTATTTATGAGCAGAACTCTGAGTAAACTGATTATATTCAACAAATACAGAACGAGTGATATAAACTGTACAATGAACACAATAACTGCAGGAAAGTTGAGTAAAATGAGAGATTTGAATGCATTTTGAACAGATTATTTCCTGTAAATATTAATCAGAGATGAGTTTTTATGATATTTTAGGAACTGTTTATACAATCCTCTTTATTATTAATAATTTGGATCAATTCAGTGTTTTTTTCGCCCCACTTGGTCGTTATTCTAATACAGTTTGTGTTCAGGTCATCGAGTTTAGATATTAAGAAATACAAGAAGTAATGTAATGACTTATTTTAACTCATAAAAATTGTAGAAACAGATTATATCAAAACTTTTAAGTTACACAAACTTAATTTTGTGAGTTCAGAAATATTCTTCATTAAATTATTTTTACTCGTTCTTTTAAAAGTACAAATAAAAATTTCCAAATGAAGTCAATGTTATTTAAAATCACTAAACCTGCTTGATCAGGAATGTTTTTTAACAACATTTATATAGTTCTACTTAAAAATGTCAGTGTAGTAGCACTTTCAACTATTACTGGTTTTACAGTATATTCTAAACTTTAAACATAACATTTTCATTTTGTTTTCTTTCTACAAATGAACAAACATGCTGAGATTTCGACCTACTTTGTATAAATTAAGATCAAGAAGACCTCTTGGCCCCCATGTTGGGAACCACTGGTTTAAACGTACAGTTTCTGTTGTTTGATGAGGTGGTGAAGCAGTGAGGGATCATGGGAGTTGTTGTCTTCACCACCATTGGCGTCATTGCAGTCAGCTTCTCCCGGTCAGGATTCCTTATAGATGATTTCATAGGTATACAAAGAGGTTTCTACCGGAACCCATTATCCACAGAGGGCTCCTCCATTCTCAAAGAAAACAACCTGACATTTAAACCACTAACCCAACTGGGGTAGCAGATTCCACCTTCTAAACATCATGCTTTCCCAACGCAGAGGATATAGGACAGACAAGGAGACGTCCCGGAGGGGCCTGCGAGCCGAGCTGACTGCTAACGTTAGCTCAGCCTTTGTTTCTCTGATATACTTAAACCAGACGCTCCGATGACTGAAAATCACTTCATACCAGTTCTCATAGAGTTAAGCCCAGATACTACAGTGGATGAGATAAAGTGAGCTATACGACTGGATACAGTCGAATGTATGAACAGCTTATATCCTGGACAAAAACCACACAACGCTGAACAGCAGGGTCAGATCAGCGTCACGTTCCCTTGTGTGCTTATATAAATAAATAAATTAAAAAACAAAGAACTTTTCCAAAGGTCTATATTTAAAATTTCCCGCCCCTTTTGGGACCTCAATCAACTTCCTCCGTTCCTGTACATAGATATGCTACATGCTAGGCTAATCTATGTTGAAAAGACAACCACATCTTTAGGATGAAAAAAAGATAAAAGAGACAAATATATAAAGTCACATCATCTTAGCTCCGTGTTACCATATCAGGATGTAACTGGCTAGCTAATGATTAATGTGATTAGCTGTTTTTTTTTGTTGTTGTGAATGCTGAATTATTCAACTTTAAACTCCAGAAATTCAGTTTTAGCATCAACTTTTCTACAATCTTAAAGAACCAGTGTGCAGGATTTAGTGGCATCTAGCAGATTGCAACAAACTGAACACCACTCGCGTCTGTATTTGAGAACCTGGAAATGAGAACGGGCTGTGAAGTGTGTAGTAGGAACTACGGTGGATGTGAGGCTCCATCTAGATCCAGTGTTTGGTTTATCTTCAGGTATTAATATTACTATTTTCAGGTGATTATACACTAATGAAAACAGGCTTACAGCAAAATAACAAACAAAACAGGGTAACAAACAAACTATATATATTAATATTGTTTACAGGCACAGTGGATGTCTGTTTCACATGTAAACAGCTTAAAGTGCTGTACAAAAGAACATTAAAATATACAGTAAAATGTAAAAATACCACAAAAAGAAAATACAGATTAAAATATTAGTGGGTCAGTGAATATAAATGTGGCTTCAGCCTGTAAACAGAGATAGAAGAGAAACATTTAATATCTAACAGCAACTGCAAAGAATAAACATATACAGTCTCAGAGATATTAGAACAGCTAAAAATCTGTAAATCATCTGATCATCTGGGAAAACATAATAATTACACAGGAAAGAAATCATCCATTAGAGCCGGCTGTGAATCGAACTGTTCTCCAGCTGTCTTCGTCATTCTGAAACCACAACTAATGTTGAAGATGACTAATTTTCCCTCCTGACACCTAAAAGGAGGCGAACATGTTCTATTTTAATGTTATATAATATAGGTAGTGTAGGAATATAGCCCCCAAATAAAAACATTATTGTAGCACATTAATAAAGCATTGAATAGAAATAAGCTTTAGAAATTGTTTTATTTCCAAATCTTGCATTTTTCCAAATACGTCTTTTTTTATTGAACTTCTATTTCTGAATAGTTCTTTAACACATGTTTTTTTTTAAATTAATATTATGTAATTTGGTAAATTTAAAACCATGTGACACCAAACTCGGGCGGGCAGCTGCCACCCCAATCCACCCCTCTAGGTCAGCCCCTGGATGCGTCCACAGTCCATGAGCTAGTTAGCTTGTTAGCAACTGAATAAAACTCGACAAGACACAAAATTAAATAAATGACTTCAGAAAAGCACATACCATAAAACTAATAATCAATAGTCTGGGCTTTTGTTTGCTCCAATCACTGAACTCAACCTGCCTCTATGTGAGACAGGCCTTTAATTCCCTTTTTGGTTTCAAAGATGGGAAATACAATCAGATTATTTATTTAAACCAGTATGAATAATTACTGAATATCAATAACAAATCATTTATTTGTTAATTTGATACTTTTGGTGCTCATAGTTTCCGTAAGAAGGGCGGAGTTATTGAATCTAACGTGAGTTTGTGAACTCGCTCCAACAGGCGACCCGGTGGGTTTTAAGAGGTTTTATACGTCCAGAAAACTTCTATAAAATCCAGACCAGACCTATAAGTGAGAAAGTAAAGGACATCTGCTTCTAATGGAAGTTTTATTACATTATAAATCTGCTGCACCACGAAACATCTAAACTCTCAGTCAGCAGTGAAACACTTTCATCCAGTTACATTTAATTTACACATATTATTTACTGTCTCACACGTCCATATTCACAGTATCTTCAGTGGACGTTATCAGCTTCTGTCCTCTTGCAGGTTTATTGACGTGCACGTGTTGTGTTGCTGTAATTGTATATATAATATGTTTATATATATATTATTGTAGATTTTCTAGACTCTTTCTTGACTTGCACTGCTTGTTTTCATCCTTATTTATATTTTTCTTGCTCTCAGTTTATCGTTGTGTTCCAATATACGAAGGAAATTACTTGTATACTCAACAATAAACCTGCAGGATATTTCAAACTGATTAACGGAAGAAATATTGTTTGTTTTTTTATAGTTAAATTGATCTTTAATGAACTTTTTAACAGCTGACAGGAGAAAGATGTGAACACAGTCTTTCTTCCAACCAGCAGCTGTGATATTTCAAATGAAACCTTTCTAGAGTTTTCTGGAAAAAGAAATCTCAAACAAACGTACACTTGTGGAAATATTCAGCAGTATTTGGACTGTTATTCAAATCTCTCCAGCACAGTAAAACCCGTCTTTTACAATCCTTCTCTCCCTCTCTGCCTCTCATTGTAGGTGCGGGACTCTTGGCACTGTTTGTGCTGAATCGTGTGGATATCGAACAATGACTGGCTGCACAAAACTGACAACTAATGAAATAACTTTGTGGGAGTGTGACACCCCGGGGTGGGGGGAGGCTACAGGGTGACCCCTCATTTCAGCCTGCTGGGCCTATGGCAGGCCGACCTGCGGGCCAGCTTGGACGCTGTGCGGACTGTTGGCAGAGTTTCCACCCCTGGGCGTCCCGTATATATTGAGCCCATCGTGCCATCACAAACACACTGGCACAGACAGGTACTGGTAAGAGGTTCACCATGCTGTGTTTTATAGAGTTTGTTGTTTTAGGTTTAAGCTGTACAAGCTGTATCCCACGATTCAGTGCTGTAACTGTGTGTCCAGAAGGCTGTGAACTCCTAAAGCAGTTTTAATATCAAAGATATAAAACTTTTTAAATCATGACGATGTTTCTCAGAAACAGTGAATTTGTTCTCTTTTCAGTTTCGTCCTTGCCGATCCGTTCACTATGGCCACAGACCACCAGAACCCTGCATCCAAGCAGCAGCAGCCGGCCGCCAGCGCGTTCAAGGTGAGCGGAAACACAGTTTACTTCCTGCTTGGAGTTGAGGTTAATTTAATTAATTATAGCTAAATTATAAACTAAAACTAGGTGTGAAAAGAACATTTTAGTTCACTGAAATAAAGATTAAAACTCACAGAAATGATAGTTGAGTACTTTCAAACAAACAGTGTTAGTCTTTGTCAGTTTGGTCCACTTTGGTGCAAATCACAGTATTTTTTAAGACTCTGGCGGTTTTACGGTATATCACTGTATTTTTGTTTGTTTGCATTAGTGCATCTTTATATAAGTTTATAGTTGCCCCAGAGCCTTTTAAACCTCTCTGTGCCATCATGTGTGCAGAATATAAACCATTTTTATTGATCTGATACTACTTATAGAGACTGTGAGTTTCACTGTAAGATTCTGTCAGTTTTACGGTATATTACTGTATTTTTATTTTATTTCTCTGCATCACTGGGCCTTTATAAAGTTTTATAGTGACTTATTCTACTAAACCTTTTTTATTGTAGTGTATGTAGAAAATGCAATGTAGTAAAAAACAGAACTTAAAAATAACTGAATTTGTTAAAATTGTTGTATTAACACTATAAACTGAGAGAAAATACTCAAATGTTCTATTGCACAAGTTAGAAACCAATGAGTTACAGTACAAAACAGGTGCCAGTCCCCTAATTCAGCACAATCCTAAACACAACAGACTGTTTCTGTCAGTTGTCAGCGCTGTTTCCTCGGCGTGAAGCTATCTGTGTGTTTACAGAGAGAAGCAGTATTTACCGCCTGTATTCCTCCTCTGATTGGCTCTTTCCTCCCAGCTGGTCGTCTATGAGCAGGAAAACTTCCAGGGACGCTGCCATGAGCTGACTGGTCCCTGTAACAACCTCCAGGAAGCAGGCGTGGAGAAAGTGGGCTCCATACTGGTGCTGTGTGGACCGTGAGTGTGGGTCAGAGACGGGTGGGACAGTGAGGGGGTAACAAAGTACAAATACTCAAATACTGAAGTAGTTTTTTCAGGTATTTGTACTTTACTCAAGTATTTTTACACAATTATCTGTAACTTTCTACTGCTTACACTTTCAAAACAGGCTTGTTACTTTAGTTTTAATGCATTTGAGGGGAATTATTGATTTATTTTCTTTATTTTTTTGCATCATTGTTCTCTTTCCCAAAATCATAATGATGCAAATCACGGATTTAACATGACAAAAACTACAAAAGAGACATAAAGAGGGAGAGTCGACCCTGTTTGAAGTTTCCAGAAAACAAGAGAGTACTTTAGATTTTTATACTTTGACTGCTTGAAGTTTCAGTCTTCTTTTACTCAACTATTTGTCTTTGTACTTGAGTAAAGACTGTGTACTTTTGCCACCTCTGGATGGATGACCACACTATCTTTCTGTCCTCCTCCTCCTCCTCTTCCTCCTCAGATGGGTGGGATATGAGCAGCCCAGCTGTAAGGGCGAGCAGTATGTGTTTGAGAAGGGGGAGTATCCTCGCTGGGATTCCTGGACCAACAGCAGGCGCAGTGACACCATTGTTGCATTCCGCCCGATTAAAGTGGTAAGAACGAGCACTTTCTACACAAACCCTCCCTCATCAATCCGTCACCACGTCTGCCGCCTAACAAACCCTCCACTGGCTTCGCTCCTCTCTCAGGACAGCCAGGAGCACAAGATTGTCCTTTATGAAAACCCCAGCTTCGCAGGGAAGAAGATAGAGATCATAGATGACGACGTCCCCAGCTTTCACGCACACGGCTACCAGGAGAAGGTCTCCTCTGTCCGGGTTCAGAGCGGCACGTGAGTCCATCCTCCCCGCAGATATTGGAGGAAGTTTTCTTAAAGGGTAGCAACATTAAACATGAGTTAAAGCTCCAGTGTGTAAAACTGAGGAAGATCTATTGTCAGAAATATAATATAATATTCATAAGTATGTTTCTATTAGTGTATAAT